AAAGTACCAACTATATTTACTTTCTGATCGAACGAGGTACTGAAGTCGATAATCGAAGCACTTTTACTGCCCCAAAACGTGATGACAGACACAAAAAAAAAACACATCATGGTAAAATCAATATATTCCTCGATCCGCTCAGAATTTAAAATGTTGAGAATAAATCCGCAGTAATATTTTTTATGAGCATCTGTAACTAGAATTTTGACAAAATTCGTCAAAATCACGAAAATTTTCAAATTATTTAGAGTTGGAAGTTCATAAAAATGTTTTATTCATATCCAAGTTTTGAAAATGTGAAATAAGATTTATCTTGGCCACACGGGCATTTGTTTTCTTCGTTTTACAATGTTCAACGTTCAACATGGCATGTTCACCATTATACGTTTTACTCGATAATTTCTAAAATTAGAGTGAATTTACCTCTTATAAAATTAAAAGACAAGAATATTATCAGAGACATCTCGAAGGATTTTATTGATATTATTATTTTTAAACAAGTTATGATCGTTTTAAAATGTGCAAATAAAAACTTTAAAAATGGTCGTAATAATAACTTACTTAAAAATAATACCAATAAAATCCTCTGAGATGCCCTAGATAATATTTGTACCTTTAAATTTGATAAGAGGTAAATTTCTCGTACACGAGTTGTGTCCAACTGTTTTATGAAGTTTTACACAAGACGTTGTGTGCTGATAAATTCAAATCGATATTTTACACAAGAATAAAATATGTTATTTTGAAGATATTTACTGAATAAAATTCGATACCGTCGATTATTATTATAGCGTGGGGATAAGGCCAAGGGCGTCCGCAGGGGGGGCAAGTAGGGGCATCTGCCCCTCCCTTGGCTTTTTATGGGCTAATTATCATAATCACTATGTACCATATGTACTATATGTAGTATAAAATATCACAAAATAAATATTTTTTAAATTAAAAACATTTTTTGAAACGATGAGTAAYCCGMGATTACCATCACKCGCACCCGACCTCCTAGACAGCACTATCTACTAGTAAACTTTGTAGGTAAGTACTAAGTAGTAATAAACTTGTATGCATTAGTAACTATTTCAACTATTTGGATCAATCTACTTTTATTTGTAACCTTAAAATCATTATCATCATTGGTGCTCCCGAGCTACGGTTTAAATATATTCAAATGAATCTAACTTCTTCCCTGAATATAGGGATTTAACTGTTCATTAC